TTTTTTGTTACTAAAACAGTATTCTATTAACAAAAAAAAGAATAACTTACATATGTATCTTTAATAATTTTTTCTACTGCAATTATTTCTCCATCAGTAAATGGTCGATCATCTTCATCTTTTTTTATAAATAGAAGACGTGTTGCTTGAACAAAATGTTCAGTAGAATTAAGTGCCTCTTTAAGTTCTTTAATTTTTTGTGGACGTAAATCAACTTCACGTACACGTAATTTTAATGATTTTGTTAAAGTTTTCAATTCTTCTAATTTCGATTTGAGTGTCTATTATGTAACAGAAAAAAAAGATAGTAGAAGAAAAAAATTTGTTTGTTTTTTACTTTAACATCAGCATTAATACCATCATCCCATAACCATGAATCAACTTCAGATAATTTATCACTTATTTTTGCGTGATCATCAGCTGTTACAGATTTTTTATAGATTGCATCATGTTCAAGTTTATCACGCATATCATAAATAAATGATTCAAGATTATTTTTTGCAGTAGCAAGAGCTAATATTTCACGATCGTGTTCATCCAAAGCAATTAATCTAAAGTACATAAATTTAAAATATATAATTAACGAATGTTAGATCAAAATGAATACGATTTGAGGATGAGCTCTCTAGATCTACTATCTCTCTTATTTTCGATCTATGAAATGAATTACTTCTTTCTTGATAGTTCTTGAGTTTCTGCTGTTGGATCAGCATAATCACGTGATTCTACTTTATATTCCAATGGTTCACGAATTGTGATCATTTTTGGTGGTGGTGCTGTTGTTGTTGTTGGTGTGGTTGTGGTAGTTGTTGTGTTTTCTGTTGTATTTGTTATTTCTATATGTAAAAGAAATAGATTCCTATCCTTCGATGAATGTATATATTTACCTTTTTCATCAATTGGTTTTGCAGTTTCTTCACTACTATTTGTTTCGGTATTATTCTACGAAAAAAACAATCACATTTATTTCATCTTAGAAGAAAAAAAGATTCTTATTACGGTTGGAATCTCTTCATTAGTAGTATTTGTTGTATTATTATTTTCATTTTCAGATGCTGAACCACGTGATGAAAAGAAACTTGAAATTTTGCTACCTAATTCTGTAAAATAGAATTAAAAAACATTGATGAAAGAATATATATTAATCTACTTGATAATGTTGATGCATCATCATCTGTGCTATTTCGATCAGCTTCAGTTTCTTTTCGTTCGAAAACAAATTCAACCTAAAATTAATTCAATAGAAGAAAATAAAAGAAAACAAATTTCATATCTATTGTTACATACTCGATCAAGAGTAAGAAGACAATTATCATCTAATTGAAAGTGTGCTTTAATACCTTTTGATTCACTTGTATCTTTATGTTTTTCATAAGCTTTATCGGCACCACTAACGCTTACATGAATTAATTCTGTTTGACCAAGTGCTCTACAGAAAGATAAAACATATATACATTGATCAATTCTTTATATGATTTTACCGTTTGTCAGTATTTGAAAGATATGTTAAATTTCCATAATGAACATCAAATGTAAAATCTTCGATATGTCGATTAAATGTCATAACTTTTCGATTTGGATATAGATTATTTCGATTAAATAATGTTCGATCGACTAATTTTTGTTCTGAACTGTCAGCTGATGAATCTGCATGTTTTTCAAATTGAACATTGATTGGATATTGATTAGCATCTTTAATAAGAAATTTTTTAACACGATAACCTTTTGAAAGTGCTGCAGCTTGATAAACAGCACCCATAGCAGCAGCTTCATCAGTATTTAAACTTTTACCAAGATCAATTCTATAGGACAAAAAACAAAATTTCTATTTGAAGAAATTTTCATATAGAAAAAAAAACAAACCCGCCAAGTGATTTAGCTAATTCTTCTTGAACACGTGGAATACGTGTTGCACCACCGAATAAAAGTACTTGTTGAATTTCGCTCTAAATTAAGTATATTAAAAAGTATGACTCAGCTAATCGAAGATTCAAGAAATACAAAATGAATCATAGTTATATCGATAACAATAACGTAAGACCTTCTAAACTCACAAACACAAATGATTAGTTTGTTCTATTCATTAGGTAGATCCACCTGTATACTTTTCAAATAGAAGGACAATAATAAGCACATGATATGACATTGAAACTGTCTTCATTGTTTTAATCTATGTGAAGAAAATGTGTTTATCTGATGACAGAATCTCAAAATAAGGGTATAATCTTATAGAATATATGATGATAGATACTATGCAATAAGTCTAGAGATAAAGAACATAGGTCAAAAAAACATTTCTATCCAATCTGACGATCGAGAATATTATAAAAATCTTACTAATGTGATTTCACTTGTGCTGAGTACTTCTTCAACAGGTCGTCTAACTCGTTGAAAAAGATCTTTACATAAATCTTCGAATTGTTCACGTGTAAGGCGATGTTTAAAATCAATTTCATCAACTAAACCTTCAACTTGCGCTGTATATTCATTATTAGCACTTAAAACATGTTTAGCACGTTCAGCTTCACGAAATAATTTTGTTAAAGCTCGTGCATTTTGAAATATATCGATTTTTGGATGATGTTCTTGAAATTTCTTAGCTAAATAATCTCGTAAACGTATTTGAAATTCTAAACCACCTAGATCTCGATCAAATGCAACAGCTTTTATTGTTAATTGTGGTACTTCTTCAAGATAACCATTTTCTTTTGTTTTAACTAAATGAAATGTTGCTATCGTACATGTTGTTGATTGTGAACCCATATCATAAAATAAATAAGTTGAACCAGTTGCATTAAAATCTTTACGACGAAATATACCATAATTAAGTGCAACAGCTGTATTATCATTCATTAATTGAAGTAATTTTATATTTGCTAATTCACATGCACGTTTAACAGCACGTCGTTCAGATTGTGTAAAATATGGTGGAATAGTTATAACAGCAGAATCAACAGATTGTTCAGCAAAATCCGATGCATATTCACGTGCTTTTTTTAATATCATAGAAAGAAGTTCTTCGATAGTATAATTTGTTTCACTAGAAATTAAATTATATATCATTTACTTGATGTGACAAAGTCTAGACACTTTCAATTTTTCTTTTTCGTTTTCAATCGATGAGTTATTAAGTTTAATTATAGACAATATTCTCTAATCAATCTATTTAAATAGCTATACTCCGAATAGTTTACTAGCATTATTGTTAACTATATGCTTAATAATTATTTACCTATCATGTTCAAAAACTAGTTCGCTTGAATGTCCATCCATTTTTAATTTATAGTATGGAAATCGTTTTAAATACTGTTCAATAACAGGATTATCTAATGATTTTCCAACTAATTCACGTAAATACATATAAGATTGTGCTGGCATTTTACTTGACTAAAAAAAGACAAAACTATTTGATTAAAATCAAGAAGAGAAATACATACTCGAGAAATAGCTGCTTCACCAAATTCACGTTCTTTGCCTTTAATAGCAACAATAACCGGTGTTTTACGACGACTTTCTCTGTTTTAAAGAAAAAATATAATTCATAAATTAAATAAATATTTATATAGAAATATGATTTACTTATTCAAAGCAATTTCCATTGGTATACCAGGTTTTACAATAGCAATTTTCATAAATTCTGTACCGAGATCGATCGACATCACAGCAAGACTATCAACTGTGAATACAATCGATATCGTTAAAATAATAGAAATACTAAGAATAGTTTTTGGACGGATCATATTTATGATCTAGAAAGAAAAAACAACAAAGGGAAAACCAGATGAAAGGACAGAATTTGTTCTACATTGTCTATATATAATAATATCTTTATACAACATAATTACATAACAGAAAATAACAAAGAGAGAGAAAGTTTAATCATGAACAATTTGTTGTTCATGCTCATTAGTTTCCGATGGATTTTCTTCTACTAATGGTTCATTTATTTCCGTTTGTTCAGTTGGAATTGGTTGCGATGATGTTGATGCTTGTAGTTCATCAATTATAGGAGTACTTTCTTCTCCATTATTTGAATCATTTTGTGGTTGATTCGGTGCTGGAGATTGCGTCTTAAAAAAACACAAAATAAACAATTCGAAATATGGCTTTCTACTAGAAAAATCTAGAACAGCTGCTCGCAATGATATGCAAAAAATGTTGTATTCGAATTAAACCTTCGAAATTTTTTGACTATTAAATTAACGGACGACATTATAAATTGTGGATGAGGCCTTGTTTTCAGACAATATGAAAATGATATTATAATAACAATTAGATGATTCATTATGATTTATGTATGCAATAAAATCGAACATTTACGATAGAAATCTAATTGATTCCTTTGTGCATGAATGATTCTATTTGCTCTTATAGTACGTAGATGTTAGACAATAAAAACATTATTAGAATTCTTTTTCTTTTTTTTTGACCTTCAGGTAATTCTTCGAAAGGAACTCATGTTAGAATAAATATTAACGAAAGTTATTCATAAACTTATTACAATGGAAAAAACGTGTGAGTAGAAAAGATCAGTTGTTATTCTTATCTAGATAACTAAGTATTCAATTTGGCTAAGAGATTATCAGTATGTAGAAAACATATTTTATTTCTTACTCGAGAATCATCGTAATTAGTTGAAGTTCTATCTTCACTTGTCACACGTTGACTACCATTAGGTGTAGCTGAATGATCATAAAGATGTTGTTGTACATCACGTAAACGTTTTTCCACTTCACTTTTTTCATGTTGTAAACGATCGATATTAGCACAAAGTGATAAAACTTCATTAAGTAAAGCTGCTCGACTAAATGCTGCATAACGTTCATAACGACATTGATAATAAATATCATTGAAATCACTATCAACTGATGGATCACCACCACCAAAAACAATATCTTGATTGCTTTCTGCATCATCACTTTGTGCATCAACATCATTCATATCAAACATTTGATCATAAGGTAATGATGGTTGATTTTGTGTAGTTACTGGAGATGTATCTTTAAAATATAAGAAAGAAAAAAATGACAAGGTAATATTAATTATGATAATTATTTGTATGTTTTACGTGTTTGATGAGTGGGTGTTGGCGTTGCTATGGAGGATGGTGTTTGTCGATTATGATCACGTATAAGAAATTGTGTTGTATTTGACGGTGCGAGTACATCAAGTTTTCTTTTATCACGTTGAACTTGGGCAGAATGAATTAATTCATAGTCGGATTGTGACATACCAGGTGGAGTTCCTTATTACAAAAAAAATGAATTAGTTTTTATTATGTAAACATTTAATAAATTATATTTACCCATTAAAGCAGCAGGAGTACGTGGTAATGATTGAACAGGACGATAGGAACGTTGTTGTTGTTGAGGTGGTAATGGTTGTCGAAATGTATATGGATGATATCGAGAACTAGCAATTGGACGTTGTTGTCGATGAGGTATAATTGATCCACGACCAGGTCGATTTCCACTTCCGCGTTGATGATGCTTCATTCCACCACTTCCGCTTGCTGATTGTTGATATGTACCAACACCACCACCACCGCCGCCGCCACCACCATAACGTAATGGTAGAGGAGGTACTGGTAATAATGGTGCAGGTGGTAAAGAAGTTGAGTACATCAATGGCATTCGAGTAGAATTACCACGACGCTGTTGTTGATGTCCAACTGGGTGCATTTTTCTTCTAAGGGAAAAATGACATATTTTTATTGCGTAAATGAGATAGATATAATGAAAAAAAATGAAGAAATGGTGATGCGGATAAACTCGGCATAATACGGTTGGTTGATTTGTTTCATTTACTAATAAAATAAAACGAACAAATCAAATTTGATATATAAACCTCCGAAAAAATAATATTGCAATAACATAGATGGAGTAAGTTACTATACTAGAGAGAGTTTATTCATATATTTATAGAAATGATTACTTAAAGAATTGTTTTTCATGCTCTAATAAATATGTTTGAGAAAAATTTTATTTGATGTTTACAAATATGTCTATCAATCTGTTTTATGTCAAGAAAATAAGTAATGAATCTTGATATCATTATATATTCAATTTTTTGTATTATTTTATTTCAATACAAGTTAATTAATAAATTATAAGCTATAATAGAAGATTTTGTTTCAACCCACTTAATTTCTTTTTTCTCTAAAAATTCATTCTCTATATCATGACAAATTATACGCTCGTTTTTCATATATGTGTCAAATCTTTTAGTACAAAAAATATATCATTTCGGAAGTATGGGAGAATAAACCGCTGCTATTAAAAATTGCTTTTAAGCAGGACATTTTTTTTCTATCAGATATGATATAAGGCCTTTTGATTGTATATGACTTCTATGAATTAAAAGGTTATTTATATATAGAATCTATTTTATCTTTCAAAGATTAATTGAACTTAACTATTAACATTCCTACATGTTTGTTTTGTTAAATTCAGCTTATGAAAGTAGACTTCCTTTTTATTAGATTAATCATTCTCGTTTCATAAAAGATTTAACGTAAGTGGTAAAAAACAGGAACTATTTTTAAAAGAAAAATATTCTCATAGTTCATATTGAATATGTAATTTAACTAATGTTTTTTTTTATTCAATTAATATTATGACATATAATCAACATCTACTATTAATAACTATTATATATATATAAAAAATCTTCCCTCTCGATTTTTAGTGCAGAGAAAATATGTTTCATCTTCGAAGATACATGCTGTCCTATTGAGTATACACGATTGATAATTTATATTTTTCTGCTCTTATTTCTATCTAACAGATATTATTTTTTTTTCTTCAGTCGTAATTCCGGAATCAATTAATAACAGTTTTTTGATCATGTAGTTAAAAGTACCTATGAAAAGAAAGTTTAATTCATATTCGTAATTTATGTTTTTGCGTTGGTAGTAACATGCAGTTCAGATTTTATCTAATGAGTATTCATTGAATGTTTATCTAATAACAGAAAAAATGACAAATATCTTGTTTTTAATGAGTTTTTGTGACACTACAAACTGTGAGGACTTTTAAGATTCTCTCTTAGAATATTAAATGACACATGAATAATATATATATATATATGTAGATTTATAGCAAACTAGACTATTGTCAGAAAAAAAAATAGAAAGTTCAAAATACGAGACTCTTTTCATTAGAAAAAAAAGAATATTTGGTAGACGACACATGAAAATATACACGAGTAAATATCATATAAAATTATGTTTTTAATTTAGTAAAGTGTTCGAAATACTGAGAGTAGTACTCTATAATTTTACTAATAATAGATAGATTTTGACTGGATTCCTTCGAGAGAGATTCGTCTATAATCTTTATGAATAATATATTAATTATTTCTAAAAATAAATTTGTTACAACGTTTAGGTTAACATGAAAATTTATAGATAGGGTAAATTATTATATTTGAGTGAATCTCTAGAGAAAAAAGAGAATAGACTGTTACAATAAATCTTTCTCCGTTTTCTTTTCTCTAGAATTATATTCGCTTATTCTCTTTATGTTCACTATATATTAATACTCGATAAATTATATTCTGACTATTAACAATTAAATATTCAACATGTCTTCATCTTCGGGTTATAATTTTAATTATGCACAAATAATGACATTTGTTTATACATCAGTATTAATAATTATTTGTATCTGTGGTGTTTTCGGTAACAAAATACTTTTTCAATTATCTACTTATTTATCAGATATTTTCATATAGGTAATGCGATTGTACTTGGTGTTGGCGTGTTAAAACAAAACTATAAAAAAAATGTTACTAATTGTTATATTATGAATTTAGCTATTACTGATCTTTTTTTTCTATTAATCTCTGTGCCATTTACTACTTATCTCGGTGCTATACAAGTTTGGAGTTTTGGTCAGTTTGTATGTAAAATGCATATTTATATCGCTCACGTATGTATACTTATCTATTATTAGACTAACAACTTTTGAAAATATTTTAGGTGCTTTTACAAGCTACTTGTTATACTTTAGCTGCTATGAGTATTGATCGATATTTAAATATAGTTCATGAAATGTGGTATCGAAAATATCGAAAATCGAAATATGCTCAAATTATTTGTCTATTCATTTGGATTGGTAAGAAAATAGTCTTTGGTAAAACTAACAATTAATGAATTTTTTTATTTAGTTTCTCTTGTATTTATGTTTCCCTACGAATATTTTCTGCATGTCAATAACGAAAAGAATAATCAATCATCACATGCTTCTAATTGTATAGTACAAGATGGTGATTCATTATTTTCATCTTGTATATTTACACTTGGTTTCTATTATGTTTTACCACTATTAATTATTGGTATATGTTATTTACGTGTTCTTATGTATGTACGACGTAGTGGTTATCGAATGGTTAAACGTTTAGTAAGTTGTTCAAATTAATATTTCAGTTAGATTGGAAAACAATTTTGAAAATGTGTTTGATGGCCGAAAAATATCGATTGTTACCCAGGCTGACGAAATTTTTAGAAAAACGGTGAAATACTCGTAGATATTTTAATGAGAATAAAATCCGGAAAAGCGCACATTGTTACGATTTTTACTTCCGTTAGTTTGTCTACTGTGATTAACGCGTCATATTTCGCACTTCAACGAGTAACTACGGAGTAGATTTCAACGCAGTAGAAAGCGTTCTAGAAAATTGCGTAGAAACGCGTTAAGAATTCGTAAAAACGGCGTTTTTTACAACGGCCTACCGTTGAAACGACGTATTTACACTGTTTGAACGCGTTTTTCTCTAAAGATCATGTCTGCCTGGGTACTATCAAAGTTTTGTGTACTTGGATTGATGTTCGCAAAAACACTAAAAGAAAGTTGCATTATCATATCTTTTGATTGCACTTCAACTAATGATTACTTCACATGAAATGAGAACTCTTTGTTAACTATGCAAAATGTCCTTCCCAAATGTAGAATTGATTTTTTCACTTTGAACTACATCGATGTCGCTCAGAAAAAGTTCGCATAATTTATTTCCGATTTCATTTACGCCCATAATGATACTACGTAATTAAATAATAAAAAAAAATCTTCTTTTTATTATAGTCCGGTGTACCACGTCAATCAATAGAATTAAAAAGTCGTCGAGTACAACGTATGTTATTAGCTTTAACATTGGCATTCGCTCTTTGTTGGTTACCAATTCATGTATTAGAATTTCTTAGCTGTTCACAATTATTATCACCACTATTTCATCTACAACATTACTATACTCTAGAAATGATTCGAGCAGTTGCTCATGCATTATCATATTTTAATTCATGTTTAAATCCTTTTCTCTATGCGTCACTTAACAAAAGTTTTTTCTATTCTTAATTCATCAAGGATGAATTTCAATTTATATAATATAAAATAAATTAAAAATTATTTAAAATATACATAAAATAGTTTTATCAACATTTATTTTAAGTAACGTAGTATCTCTTTCGAAATATGTCACGCAAAAGGAAATTTACATGCATATATATCATCGCAGAATTAAATATCAGCACGTACTATTCTAGGATATGTTAGTTATTATAAAAGAATATATACATGGTGTTTCTAGATAGCAGTAGATAATGATTATTCATCAGAATAATTATGAGTCGAATTCACAAATATTTCTTATAAGTCATTGTTAATATATTGGATGTCTGTGGATAGCTAAATTTGAAACACTAATTGATCATTGCGAGTTAGAAGACATTATTAATATTTTAAATTTTGTAGTGCTCATTAAAATATACTGTTTTTCAAGATATTTATATGTACAAGGTTGAAAATAATATTATTCCAGGGAGTTATTATTAAAATTTGAAATAGAGGATGAGTGTAGGTGTGGATATATAGGTACGGACTACTCTTCTTCCACATCAACACCAACATTACAAAAGCTTTCGAGATGATTTATTTCTTTTCAAATTTTTATTTTCCGGATTTATTTTTTTCCCGCTCATTTGACATATTTGTAAGAGATATCAAAGTTGAGACAGTTTCAGAAATTTGATGCTGTTTCCGCATAGGAAATGAAAGCATTTACTATTTAAAAACAAACTGAAGTACTTTCTTTATATATCTTTGCATGGTTCAATACCGTTTATCAAGCTTTACAAAGCTGTATCTGCTGAAAAATGTTCGATCTATTTTCTAAAAAAAAGCATTTCAGACAGTACTTGGAAAAATCTTGAAAATTTCTCTTTGTAAGAAAAACACTCGACTTAATATTCAAAATAGCTTTTTTTCATTATTTACACCATCACGTGCCTTTCATACTCTATCTACCCGATATACCGTGAAAAATAGGTGTAAGGAGTATATCTTGAAAGGTCTGTAATAGTGTAAATAATGAACAAAAGCTGTTTTTAATGTAAAATCGAGTATTTCTTAACCTTCATATCATCACGTGTCTAGCACGAACATTTTTCTTGATTGAAGTCGATGCGAACCCCAGCACAGTAGTGAGTTAGAGAGAAAGAGCAAAATCTCTATCAAGTTGTGGAGAAAATGTGAGAATTATGTATGACACATCGCTACAAATAAATTAAAAAGAAAGAATGTTTTCTTTGTTTCTTTTTTTCTTATCTCCATCAGACTATGAATTCTAGGATGGCAAAAAACCAAGTTCCATTCACTATCGAATGTTCATGATACAGCACAAAATCTTTTACAATATTTTATACAGATCGATGAGTTCATCGGATACCAAATTCAAGCGATATCTTACCGATAGTATATGTATAATTAGCTCTACACTCTGGGATTCATTTGTACCCCAAGCGATGAAAACAAGTTCATAGATATTTCCACCTATTTTTTTGTATCACCGACATTCATATCAAAGACACTGATACCATCAATAAGTTAGACTAATATTCTTCGATGCATATCTATGAACGCCGGAAAGAATCCATGACTACGTGAGATCTAGGTAAAATATGAATGTCTTAGAATTCACTTGGACCCTTGGTAGTGATATAAGGGTTGAATGTTTTCTTGCAGAAAAATGACTAAATACTTTTTCAGCATATACAGTTTTGTCAAGCTCGATAAACGATATCGTATCATGCAAAGACATCGACAGAAACTACTTCAACCTGTTTTTAAATAGCCAATACTTTCATTTTATATGTAGAAACTTTCTCAGATTTGATATTTCTTAGTTTTTCACAGGCTGTCATATAGTATAAAGTTCATTACTTATTCTATTTAAAACCATAATAATAAACCCCTGGAATAGTATTATTTTTAATCCCTGTATATAGAGTATGCATGCTTTTGAAAACTTCAAGAATTACTTGAAAGAAAAAGACATGTTTTATTTAGCTTTTTATTAAACTCATTATGATTAGTCAAGTTTATTTTATTTTTACTGTCTACTATTGAATACACAAGAGTATGAAACAATATTAAAAAATGTGGGATACTTTTTCAGAACATATTTAAATTCTATTTATATTTAAAATAAAGCCAATTTTCATGAATAAACATAGACGCTCTACCGGTAAACATTAGAAAGTATATTACATAGAATTAATCATGATTTATAATTCAAACTAACGAGCTAGACTTTTGTGCATTGAATATTCAAGAATAAGCAAAGTAGTTTATCAAAATTAATCTTTTGAAATCATAGAAAAAGAAAATTTGTATTCATGTATAATTCATATTTAATTCTATAAAAAATAAAGTGCAAGATTAAATACTATTTGTCTCAATAAAATTATTCAATTAATAAATTGCGAAAATAGAGTTTTATATATAAATATTGTTTTTTCTTCTAATATTTCATATGTTGACGAACAAATTCAAAGAAATGTTTACGTGCATTATTTTTCGCAAACTTAGTTGCTATTGATCCATGTGAACCTTCAACAGTAAAATATTCAACTGGTTGATGACAACTTCTAAATTTTTCAACAAAACGTTTTGCATCAACTTCTAAACCCATATCATATTTTGCGGATAAAACAAGAAATGGAGGTATCTCTTCACCTTCTTTTATATATTCAATTGGTGAATATTCGTTCATTTTTCTTCCTCGAGGATAAAGTAAATTACTTGAATAAAGTATACGAAATACCCAACTTCGAACATTATTATGTGAATCATGTGTTGGATTTGCTAAACTATATATTCCACTAATAGAAATAACACCAGAAATTGATGATAAAGGAAAATTATGACGTAGAAGATGAGATTTATCAAGAGTAAGTAAACTAATTAAATGTGCACCAGCTGAATGACCTGTAAGAAATATTTGATTTGGATCAGCATCTGGACAATGTTCATTAATATGCTCACGAATATAAATAAGTGCATACGATAAATCATCCAACATCTACAAAATAGAAATATCTTTCATTAATATTATACACTTGATTTAACTTACATGATCAATATTAACTGGAGTTCGTACTCTATATAAAAAATTGTATGCATATGCACCTACCATAAATGTTACATAACCCACTATAAGTTCCCATGAAAGTAAACCAAGCCCAATAATAATAATAATAAGACCAAAGATAAATGCCCAAGCAAAAAATGAAATAGCAGATATACGTGCTAAACGATAAGATACAACAACACCAACAAAACCTTCTTCAGCACATGTTCGACTAATTGCTGGACCTCCACGCGATTCACTTCTACGACTACCACGTACCCATCCACCTCCATGAATATGAACAATAACAGGAAGAGCTTTTCTCACTGTTTCTCCTTGTTGATAAGAATTTGTTTCTACATCAGCTTTAGAACTTGGAAGAAATATATCCAATTTATGATTAACATGTGCATCAGAACCAGAAAAATATGCAACATCTCGAATAATTAACGATGGATCATAACTTGGTTTAATATGAAGAAAACGTTTCAATTTCTCAAAGTACGACATATCTTGTTCAGGATTGTTTTCGAACTATGAGTATACTTTATATTAAATGATAAAAAATTACGATTTGATAGAGTTTTCTTTTTTTAAATAAAAGCAGCAAGCGATCACACTGCTTAAACATCTTGCGATTTTCAACTGATTGAATTCAAATAGTTTTATGCATTAGAATGTCAGTTAACTAACAGAAAGCAGCTTATGAATACATTCAAAGCTTTAATAAATTATTAGTTTGCATTTTTGTTTAGTTTAGTTTAGGTAGATACTCATTCGTCAGTATTTATTTTAGCTTTTCAGATATATATCTTATTCTAATTGATATTTACTTTCTCAATCGTAGTCTAAAAATAAAATAAAAACAAATTCATTTTTTCAAGAACATAATGCATCTATGAGTCATAAATTATCTTTAAAAAAAAAGAAGAGGAAGAAGAAGAACTTATACAGATACAAGCAAACATAGAAAATAAAAAGGAAATTTTTCCAAATATTGAAAGAGTTCTTTTACAAGATTTAATCACGTTTAACTTTGGAATAAAGTCTTGGTGCATCAACTAATTCTTTTCCCCAAAATATAGTAATTGCTAATGTTGAGATTGTAGCTGCACCCCAAAATAAAACATATGTTATTTGTTCACGAAATGATGAAGCCGGTATCAGTAAATTAATAATACACATTGAAAACGCAAGAAACATTGTTACAGGTAAGGCCAAAAATTTTTTACTTATTTCTTTACTAATTGGACATGATTCTGGTGTACGACCTTCATCTAATGATACACGATAATAACCCAAAAAAAGATCAATACCATCCTTTAATTAATAGAATGAATAATTGAGATAAAAATTTAAATCTCTTACTTGTCTAAAACCATCAAAGAAATTATTTAATACATAACGCATACATGAATTATAACCATCTCGAACTAAACCCATCGTTGATCGTTGACCAGTTCTAATAGAAAGAGAATATTATAAATCTTGTAACATACAACGATAATACCTATGTTATCAAAATCTCCAAGGTTTGCGCGATTTTATCGCGATAGATCTCACAATTAATCGGCTTCTATATCGCGATAAAATCGTCAATTTTTTCGAGATTTTTGGTGGCATGGATAGTGCAGTATTAAATGATGTAGTCTGTTAAAATTCTGTCATATATGATGACTATATTTTCATCCAAAAATAATCGTCACTTCAGACGATTTTCCGAAAATTAATCGTCGATCAAATCACGATTAATCGACGACTTTTTATCGAAATCGTGGCCTATTGCGATATATCGTGATAAATCTCACAATTAATCGGGTGCTAAACCGCGATTAAATCGTCAATTTTCTCCCGATTATGATGACATGGGTAGATTTTAGATATTTATTATGTACTATTAATCTCTTATTTTGCCGAACATCATTATCTTGATTTCATTATATACCTAGACAAAGAGTCGAATTCGTCTGGCAAATATCAAGTCTTGTCAAAATAATGGTTTCAAATTCCCTTTAGACACATAGCCGAAAGAGTCTCTATCGTTTCTATTGAAAAAATAAGGCTCACAAGATATCATTACGTATCTGTGATAAAAAGCCAACAGATCAATAAACAAGTTTTCTCTAGTTACTTCACTATTGTGAATATACCTGATCATAATTAAATGTATCAAGTACGTAGTACATTATTTTTGGTTTACGGCGGGTTGCTCGCCGGAAACTTGCTTGTTGAACATTTGCTCGCCAAGCATTAGCTCGTCATGGACGTTTGCTCGCATAGGACACTTGCTCGCAAAGGACAGTTGCTCGCCGGACAACCCCTCGCATACATAATGCTCGCTGTTTAATATGAGTCACTTTCATGCTTCATTCTTTTCTTTCGAATACTTTATACTCATCCTTATGTATCTCGATAATAATTTTTCTTTCATTCGGACGTTCTCTCTAATTCTGAATATGAATCGAGGTCGTGATGTATATGTACATCTTCGAAGGCATAAAATACAGCGATTACGATCTTGAGGGTGTGTGTGTATGTGGGTGTGAGTGAGGGTGAGCATGTGAGTGAGGGTGAGGGTGTGAGTGAGAATGAGCGTGTCAGTGAGGGTGAGGGTGAGCGTGTGAGTGAGGGTGAGGGTGAGGGTGTGAGTGAGGGTGAGGGTGAGGGTGAGCGTGCGAGTGAGGGTGAGGGTG